GCCAAACTGGGAAGGTCCATAAAAGATCAGAGAAGAAATCCGACCTGAAACCTACTGGATTGAAGACATGGACGGCAAGGCACAACCCCGTCCATGGAACATTGAACACCTCAGAATCTTTTATCAATGAATTGTATCATGCTGGATGACTTTCCCAACCTTTGTAATATTTCTATGGCTCAATAAAATGCATTGATTAAATCGTGTCACACTGCATCGTCACCTCGGAGGAAAGGCTCGGGACCCACCTCTGGGCCACCTCGCCTGAACTCCGAGGCGCTAGCACATGCCTCCCTTTGGCCTTGTTGAACGCCAAGGGGAGAAGCCTCAACATGGCTGCACCATCCACCATGTCTGGGATGCGTCCTCACCTCGGAGGAGAGGCTCAGGACCCACCTCTGGGCCATCTCGCTTGAACTCCGAGGCGCTAGCACATGCCTCCTTTTGGCCTTGCTGAACGCCAAGGGGAGAAGTCTCAACATGACTGCACCATCCACCATGTCTGGGATGCGTCCTCACCTCGGAGGAGAGGCTCGGGACCCACCTCTGGGCCACCTCGCTTGAACTCCAAGGCGCTAGCACATGCCTCCCTTTGGCCTTGCTGAACGCCAAGGGGAGAAGCCACAACCCTAAGTCCGAGGTTCGTACAGTCTATCTCCTTAAGTCATGTTAATTTGCTTAAGTCCGAGGTTCACACTGTTCATCTCCTTAAGTCATGTTAATTTGCTTAAGTCCGAGGTTCGTACAGTTCATCTCCTTAAGTCATGTTTATTTGCTTCAGCCCGAGGTTCGTACAATTCAGTCACTCAAGTTATGCTCATTTATTTAGTTCATGCTTCTATCAAGTTCCAGTAAATTTGTTTAAACGAGGTATAAACACTTGGACAAAAAGCAACAATGAAAGAAGAAAGCATTGTATTGATATTTCAAAGCATGTTACAAAGGAGGGCCTCTGGCCATTACATCCAAATTACTGAAAAATAAAACCTAGTCTACGCCAGGCTAGATGACGGAGGAGCCTCGACGCTTGGGCCTTCAGCAACTTAGGCATCAGTAGTTGTTTTCTCTGCCTCAGCACCAGGGGCCTCGGCATCAACTTCTTCATCACCCTGGACCTCCTCAGCTGGGGTCTGAGGTACCTCATCCACAAATTCGGACCTCAGTTGAGCTAGGTCCAAGTTGGGATAAAGCTCCTCTGCCCTCTCCAGCACTTCGGCATAGGCGAAGTTCCTCCTGTACGCGCTGAAGCTTTTATACTCCTCTGTAGTGTGGAAATTGGCGATGTATGCCTTCACCGCCTCTTCCGCTGCAGTTCGGGCCTCTTCTCTGGCAACCGAGGCGTCGTTCATGTACCACTTCGCCTGGCCTTCGAGGAACTGATAGTCATCTCGAGCACCGGCCAAGGAGAGATTCGCCTGCTCAAGAGCCTCAGCAGTCACCTTTTGGTGCTCATTGGAGACCTCCACCTTCTTTGTCAAGGAGGCCACCTCGCACTGTGACTCATACACTTCCCTCTTTAGGGCCTCAATTTGGGCCAAAGCAGACTCGAGTTTCGTCGCTTCTTCAACCCTCTGGGCTTTGGCTTCTTCGGCTTCGGCCTTAGCAGCTTTAACCTCCTCTGCAAGGGAGGCAGCCTTCCACTCCGAGGCGTGAGTCCTTGTCTGGAATTCGCCTAATGCCTCCCTGCATTCGAGCGCGAGACCAAAGGTCCAGAAACTTTGGCTCACCAGTGCCCTTGTGAGGTCGGTGGTATCACAAGACGAGGCATGAAACTGCCACCTCTCTGTTCAGAACTTGTAAAAGCTCTCGGTGGCACTTCTGATTTCCTCAGGGAGAGCCTCCACCAAGGCTGGGGCCAGCTCCTCCTCCCTCCCAGCTAGGAAGTTTGGAGACTTCCCCTTCTCCCGAACCGGCTTCTCCTTCGCCGCCTCCTCTTCGGCGGCTTCTGCAGCTCGCCTTGCAGCCTCTTCCCTAGCCTCTTAAGCCTCCACCTCTCTTACCATCTCCATTTTGATGGCCTTAGAGGCTGCAGCAAGAAACTTCGGCTCTCCAGTCTGTTCAGCCCTATGGGACACTGAGGTCCTAAACTTGCCAGCTGAGCTGGAGATGTGCACCAACTTCCTCTTCTTAGTCTCCTCAGAGACTTTCTCCTTGCCCCGAGGCTCCTTAGGCTTCTCTGGCCTCTGAGTAGATGTCTCCTTCGAGGCCCTGGGAGTGCAGTCCTTGGACAGGCACTCAACCCTGCCTCGGACTTCCTTTGCTCCACTGGACCCAGGTTTCAGGGGCCTCGCCTTCGCAGTAGAAGTGGCCTTCAAGATGGAGGCCATGTCCGGAGCTGGGTACTCCCTCTTCTTGAATTTGTCTGCACAACATGTCAGATCAGCATCAGCATAAGAAACATTAAGGATAAAAACATTAACTGTTGGGGCCTCATACCTCTGGATGCCATCAGCTCGAAGTCCAAGAAGTATCTGCTTCTATCAATCAGGTGATCGAAGTGCTGAAGCTTCAGAGGCCTCTTGTAAATGTCCTCTATCACCTCGAATTCCTCCATGCTGAGCTCGAACCTCGTACTACTATCTGCAAAGGAACCTCCAACAGTTAGACTAATAAATATTCTTACTTCAAAAGACAAACAGAGGTTGGGAGACTCATGAGCTTCGTAGTACTGGGTCGGCACTGTGCATGACAGGGCTTTGTCACCCTCCACTGCCTGCCATTTACCTCGCACCCAGAACCAGGATTCCTTCCACCCCTTGATAGAGGAAGGAAGTCCCACCACAAAGGGTGCGTGAGCCCCCCAAGGCGTGAGGTAGTACCACCCCCTTGACTCCTTCCCAATTACCCGGGGCTGGAACAGGGTCATGAAGACATGAAGAGGCATGTCCTCCCCAAGTGACACTTCCTTCCACAGGAAGTACGAGCCGACCAGCTGGCTCCACCCATTCGGCAGAACTTAGGTCGGCGACAGCATGAATTTCCTAAGCACCGCCCTAAAGAAGGGGTTCAGAGGAAGACGCATACCTGCCTTGAACAGGTATTCACTCACAGCCACGCAGCCGGGCCTCGAAAAGCAGGCCCGCTCGTTCGGCTCGGGGACTAACATCTCTATGTTATGAGGCACACTGTACCTTTCCCTAAGTTTCCCCAACCTCTTCCCCGTCATATTCGAGGGCACTCTAGAAGCCCCCACTCCTGGGTATAATCCACAGCCTCCTCGGCCATGGCATACCTATCCACCTCGGACATCTCCCCATGACCTACCCCATGGTCTAAAGACGCCACTGTAACAAGCTCCCTACCCGAAGTGGACTCCATTTTTTCAGTACAAAGACAATAACAACGGTTTTTTTATGCAAACAATACCTAAACGAGTTCAACACAAACGGAGACTGGTCGGAGTTTAATCACAGACAACCTCGACGTCGGAAAATGGGAGATTTGAGAGAATTTGAGAATGCAAAGTGTTCAAAAATCCTGGAAATTGGGATTTTCTCGCCTTTTATAAAGGTCCAAGACGAACCCCAGCCGTCAGATCAAATCTCAGTCAATCCGAGCCCTCCATTTCAGATCCAATCCGAGGCGTTGAATTCAAACAGTTTTTTAAATCCAACGCCTCCGATCTATGCGTGCCTCCCACGCACCTCTCCAACGCGTCTGTTTCTAGAAACGCCAGCTGCCCTCATAATTGCATTCTTAATTCGACGGCGCCAGCGCCAGCGCCTTGGAAGTCGTAACGGTTCAGCTACCTTTCCTCGAAAACAAGCACAAAACATCAAATCATTGGCACAGCGACCAACGCACAATCATTACCATTGGACCTTGACAAGCCTCGCAGGTTCGGTCCCTCAACCACCTCGGCTTCCTCTTTGCCATTCAGCAATCAAGCCTCGCAGGTTCAGTTCCTCACCCACCTCGGCTTCCTCCTCGCCATTCAGCATTCGAGCCTCGCAGGTTCGGTTTCCTCAACCACCTCGGCTTCTCTCCTCACCATTCAGCCTTCTCAAGCCTCACAGGTTCAGTTTATTCAACCAACTCAGCCAAGCAACACTTCTCAAACTTCAACCATGATATAAATATCTATGCTTGGACTTGGGGGACTATTATTTGGGGTTCCAAAATTCTTTCAACTCTTACTCCATTAAAGTCCACGCATTACATTAATGATTATACTTGGACTTGGGGGACTATTATTACGTGTTGTCACACCTGTCCTACCCACCTGGGCCAATGGCCCACTCATCCTGATCCACGTGGCATTCCTGCCGAGGTGGCACAAATTGTCGAGGTGGGTTATATCCGAAGTGCTTCAAGCCGAGGCCCATGACCCAAGGCATGGAACCTGTTGGATGTATCTGAGGTCCTCAAGTGGAAGTATTTGTCATATGGGCGAAGCCCCGAAGTTGATAAGCAGGCCTCTTAACCACAAGGAAACATCCTCCATGGTCACTTCTCCCAAGAGATCGCTTGCATAGACCTTATTCGAATGATTGATGGAACGTTTGTCATAAGTATAAAGGTCAAGTCTTGTCACTAGCATAAAGGACCTGCACAAGTAATAAATGCGCCGTAAGCTAGCAAGTCAAGTCCCATGCCTAAGAACAGACGTTTGAACTAAGGAGATGAGGCCACGTGCCACTCCATCCAAGGGCTCCCATTTCATATGTATCACTATAAATACTTCCATTGTGTAATGTCAAAGGCTAATGCAAGAATAAATACTAAAAACTACATTTACTCAACTCTCTCTCAGTTACTTACAATACACAAATCGAGTTTATACACTTCCACTGATACATTTACGAGCACCGGTTGGTAATTATTGTACAATCGGATTACGAACAACCCGCCGAATTTCGAACGTCACCATCCGGCGTCGTTGGGCTACTCCCACGCCCCTTTAAACCACTCATTTTAGACCGTCTACGTGTCTTAGCGTGTTGGACATTCGCCCACGCAAGCGCGGGTGGGACCGGCATTTGTTGGCGCACTTTTTGGGGTCAACAGCGATCAATATCCAAGAAGAGTAATTTGTCTTTAGTTAGGACCTTTGATTGTGCCCCTAACCAAAGTATAAAAGAATGCTTCGGAGTGATGCACGATTTCCAAACTTCGGTTCCCCAAGGCTTGAAAGTACCCTTAAGCCTAAAGAAATTATAGGCAATTTTTGTACTGAATTTCTCACCTATAGAACAGCCCAGATTTTCGTTCCAAATTTCCAAAAACTGCCTACCGAATGAAGGAAACTGGCGGCCTGTGTTGCTGTCCAAGTACTGCCCATTAATCGGCCAGTTGAGTTGATTCCCAGCATTGTAAATTCGGCCATTTACTGCCCATCGTGAAGGGGCAATTCCAGCATCCATATGAACCGTCCCCCCTTGCTGTCCATTAATCGAAATTTGTTGGGCAGCAGCATATACACAAAGAATGTCCCTAATTTCAAGAATTTTCTTGAAGAGTGGAGAATGATCCTTTCTAGGACAAACCTCCCATATGCAAGTCCCATTAAGCTAAACATGATGGACCCACCAAATCCATAGGGAGTCCTTTTTATTGTGAATGTTCCAAAGGTATTTAGCAAGTAACACTAAATTCTAACTCTTCAAGTCCTTTAATCCAAGGCCCCCTTCCTCTTTCGAAAGGAAAATATTCTTCCACGCAACTAACGACTTTTTAGATTCCAAAGGAAAGTCCGACAAAGGCTAAAAATTCTAGAAATAATTGTAGCCGGGATAGGGAAAATAGAGAGCCAAAATCATTCAACTCCTTGAAGAACCGCTCTAATAAGTTCAATCTTACCCCCATAAGATAATGTAGAAGAATTCCATGCACCAATATATGATATTATTTTATCAAGAAAAGGGACACAACCACTTACTTTAAGTTTGTCCGATGCAAGGGGGATGCCCAAATACCGAAATGGCATACTCCCCATTGGAACACTTGTTAATTCCATGATTTCCTCAAGAAGCTGTCCATGACCACCAGCTGTAAACAAGCTAGATTTGAGAACATTCAACCTTAATCTCGAGACCGAACCAAAATTTGAAAGGCAATCCATGAGAATTTTAACCGACATAAAATCTCCCCTTGCAAATAGTATCAAATTATCCGCAAAAGCTAAATGGTTGATCTTTTGGGGGCCACATTTTGGGTGAAAGTTGAAATCACTATCATATATGGCAGCTTTAAGCAATCTCGAATGATATTCAATACAAAGCACAAATAAGAAGGGAGAAAGGGGGTCACCTTGCCGAAGACCCTTCTCACCTTTGAAAAATTCATGCAAAGTCCCATGCAAAGCAATAAAATATTATGTAGAAGTGACACATTCCATAATCCAATGGATAAATCTTGAGGGAAATTGCAAACCATCAAGAACATCTATAAGGAAATCCCAACTTACCGAACATAAGCCTTGGAAATATCAATTTTTAAGAGGTATCGTGGAGCAACCCTTTTCCTATTGTATTGCCTCAATAGTTTGTTGGCAAGATGAATGTTCTCCATGATACTCCTACCTTCCACAAAAGCGGCTTGCGCATGATCAACAATGTCTCCCAAAATGGGTATCAATCTAGAAGCAAGTATTTTAGCACTCACTTTGTAAGTAACATTACAACAAGAAATGGGCCTAAAATCACCAACATGCTGCGTGTGATCCGATTTAGGCACCAAAGCAATTGTCGTGTGATTAATTTGTTTAAGAATGCAACCCGAAGAAAAGAACTCCAAAATAGCCCCAACAAAATCATCACTAATAATCCCCCAAGCATTCTTAAAAAAATAAGAAGTATAACCATCCGGCCTGGGAGATTTGTCATCACCAATATCAAAAAGCGCATCTTTAATTTCCTCATAAGAAATGTCCCGAATCAAGGTATTGCCTTGTTCTGAGGAAACTAAGGGACCATTTGAAAGAATATCCACGTCACTAGGCCGAGAGGAGCATTTCTTTCCCAGCAAAGAGGTATAAAAATTTACAAATTCTCTAGCCACTTCATCTTGTGATGTAGTATACATCCCATCTTCTTTGAAAACAGTTGCAATAAAATTCCTCTTAGAGCTTCTTTTAACCAATGAGTGAAAAAACTTGGTGCATTTATCACTTTCCTTAAGGAAGACACACTTTGCCTTTTGATAGTAAAAACTATGTTCCGCTTCACATAAAGTAACCGTTTTCTTCCTCAATTTAGCAACCAAAACCTGAAAATCAGCATTGGAGGGCTGATTATGAAGCTGTAATTGGGCAGATTCTAATTTATTTTTGGCCTCGATTGCGCTATCCGAGATATGCCCAAAATGCTTGGAATTTAGTTCCTTCAAAACCCCCTTTAATTTGCTCAATTTCTTGCAAATGATGAATTGTTTTGTCCCTCGCAAGTAAAAATTCCAGCAATCACTAATCAAATCATTAAAATCCACATGCTTGGTCCACATGTTAAAAAATTTGAAAGGGCTTTTTGCTCTCCCCACACGGTCATGTATAGAGACAATACAAGGGGAGTGGTCGAAAAGACATCCGGAAGGTAGGAAATTTGGTTCAACAAAAGCCTCATTTTGTATTCAAACATCATTAACCATTGCTATATCAATTTTGCTCCAAACCAACCCATTTGTCCATGTGTAAAAACAACCAAGGAGCACACATCCGTAAGACCCACATTAAGGCAACAATTTGCAAGATCTCTAATTTCATAAGGGGTGACATCCGCCCCATTGCATTTCTCATCAAACTTAAGAACATTGTTGTAGTCACCCAAAATCAAGCAAGGTAACGACACATTTTTATTGAGCTCCATAATGGTATTCCAAAGAGGCATTTGGTTTACTATAATATGAAATCCATATACAAAACTCACAAGAGAAGCATAGAAGTTACCTTGCAAGTAGCTTTACAGTGGATAATTTGTGGATGAACCTCCATCACATCCAAAAGAACTTTGGATGGATTCTACAAAATTAAGATCCTTCCGACTTGATGTGTGGAAAAATTATTTACTTGCACAAAGCCATCGAACTTGTTCCTCAAAATCCTCATCATTTTTTGGTCCCTCAACTTCGTTTCCGAAATTGCCATAATATCAATACTATGAAGCTTTATAAACTCTCGAATCTCATTTTGTTTGAGGGGTGGATTCATGCCCCTAATGTTCCAAGAAGCGGTCTTCATGATGAGGAAGCAAGAGATGTTCCCTTCTTCTCGAGTCCCGACTTATTTTTCTCCTCAACTTTGCCTTTAAACTTATCATTTCCAGCTTTAGTAGAACCTGTTTCAATGGAGTTGGAAGGTACATCGTTTCCAAATTTTTCGGGCTCAACATGAGCAGATTTTTTCCCCCAACAGCCCTATTTTCTTGCCAATAACCTTTTCAAACGGCACCTCAACCTAGGCAGTTTTACCCCCATCTGGCCATCCAAACTGTCCTCATTAATCTATCCAGAAATTCGATCATTTTGCTGGCCAATCTGCCCATCCAAAGCCGTGGTATTTTGTTCTTGAATTTGTTGCTACATAGACGCTACCTAATTAGGTGATTTCTGGGCATTAGAGGCTGATTTTCCAACCTGTCCAACTTTCATTTGGTTATAACCGGCAGCCTTTCCTTTGCATTTCTCCCCACCAGAAATTTTTATTGTTGCAACCTATAGTCGAGTGACCGAACACTTTACAAGAACCACAAAATTTAGGTTCATGCTCGAAAATAATTTCTTGTTCCCTCAACGTGCCATTGAGGAGTCTAATCTTGACCTCCCGCACAAGATCAATGGAGGCATCAACTTCAACAAGTGCTCTTGCAAAGGAAAGACGACCCCTAGTAGCCGTCACTTTGTCCGTTGAGATTGGTTTCCCAACCTTTGAAACAATTTTACCTAAGGCATTAGTGTTCCAAAATTTCAAGGGTAAACCCGGTAAATTAATCCACGCCGGCATTGTACTCACATCTTTATTGTTGAAATCAAAATAGCGTGGCATGATTTTGAGCTTGAGCGGTCTCTCGTAGACTAAGTATGGGCCACCATACAACACACTTAATCTTTCACTATCCGTATCAAACCAACCAACCACTAGCGTGAACATAATATTTATAGTTCTTCCAAGAATCACATAATTGGAGTAACACAACTTTCCTCGGAAACCTACCGGCAAAGTATCCAACCAAACCATATCCCCACGAATTTTCAATGTTATCTTCATCACATTCACCCAATACAACCTCATCCGATTGATTATGGAAAGGTTTGGGCATGATATTTTCCTCCAATTTACGATTATCCTTAAAAAGGTTAACGCATGGGGTTTTTTTCTCAATAACCCCATCAATACCGATCTCATTTCCAGATGTTTTATTCATTAATTTAGTAGAATTTGAATCAAAATTAGAATGCTTAGAATCAATATCCTCCTCACCAAGAGTTAGAGAGACACTCGGTGAAGGCAAATTTATCACCTTATGCTCCCCCGAATTCAACTTCAACGGAGAAGCGACACCAACTACAACAGGGGGCTGTCAAACAGACTTACTGTAAAGAGGGGGGGTCCCGATTTCACCATCTTCTTACCCATCAATGATCACACTGCAAAGGGAACCCAAATCAAGCCAAAGGACTCAATGAAACGGGTCAAGACCAGCAACAAAAAACCAGCCCAGCAACTCAACCAAGAAACCAGACCCACAAAATAACAGCCCAGCAACAAAGAGAGAAAGTCGGCCCAAGAGAAACACAAAAAAAATCCAGCAAGAAGAAAAACGGCCCAGCAACATAGAAAAATCCAGCCAGAAAAAATGGCCCAGAAACGAGGCCAAGATGGATCAGCCCAAAATGAGAAAGAAGAGCAGCAAGGGCCCAACACGACCTGAAAACAGCCCAGCAACCCACCAAAATCGGCCCAAACAGAAACCAAAACAGGTCAGCCACCAACCCACAGAAAATGTCACACCAAAGTACCAAAGACAGGGGCTAGAAGCTACAAATCAGGGAATATTACACTGAACGAGGCAGAAAAACAGAGAGAAAGCCTGGCCAAATTCAAAAAATCCAATCACAAGTGAAATGCAAACATGCATACACAATACATACACCCTGCAACTGAAGAACGCAGTAAGAACACGAAAAGAACTGGAGTTGGAAGAGAGAAACCCGGCCAGAAAGATAAACCAAACAGCGCCAAACTGAGCCGAATAAGGAGACCACTGATTCTGGAGAAAAAAATCGGCCAACAACAGAAAATCGAGAGAGGAATAATGAACCTCCAGAATATAGAACAGCAACAATGAAGCAATGCCAACTGAACTAAACACAGAACTGAAGTTTTCTAGCAAGAAGAAAATCGACAACCAAGCTGAAGCAACCAAGCAAAACAAAAAAAACCCAGCAGCAAGGTCCTGGCCGAACACAAAAACACCAAAACCAAACTGAAACCTAGAGAACCCGAGCTAGCCAAGGACGACCAGCAAAATCTCAATCCACAACAGTACCAGATTTGAACGAAACAGCTCCAACCAGAAGGGAAGTAAGACAATCGAAACTGAAGAACCAATCTGGCCAGAACTAAAACCGAACCTGGAGCTCTGAAGAAGACGGTAATGGCGGCTGAAAAACTTCCAAAACTCACAAAGAGCAGACCATAAGCAGAAAACAATATGTATTAATTCAATTTTCACCAAGGATAAGTAAAAATAAAACTAAAACACAAGAGAAAACGCAAGAAAACTCCAAGGCAAGTGTGCACCAAGTGGGACTTTCTCTCACTAGGTTGAGAGCATCTCTCTCTAACTCACTTTGACTGGCTGAGAGCTCTTTCTATCAGCTTGCAGACTTTATTAGCAACTGTGCAGGTTGTGTGGAAAACATTGGTCCTCAACTAATCATCGTCTGAATTGCCCTTGGGAGTTAGTAAACTCCTGTGAGCGACTAGAGTTATCTGGCCATCTCCATACAACACGTCCTTATCTCCATAATCATTGTACACATGTTCTCCAATCTCCTCGAATTCGTCTACCATGTCTTCCTCAATCAGAAGATTTTTATTCTTTTCACCATCATGTTTCCTGCAGTCAGTAGCTCTATGTCCCTGTTCACCACATCTGAAACACTAAATACTTGAGCTGGAATTTTTCCCGCTGGGGCTGATAAGCAGGACGAGATTCTTGAGGGCGAATTGGCTGACTACCTTCACCTCTGACCACTGGGCTCCTACTCTGCTGTTTCTCCATTGCAGGTGCCCGCTAATATGTCTCAGAAACCGTCTACAATGAATGAAGGCTGAGAACATCCTGCAGGGGTTGCCTTAATCCCCCCAAATACCGTGCTACCATCTGTTACTCCGTCTCAGATAAATCATTCTGAGCCACCAGTTGATAGAATTCCTCAGTATAATCATCAACTGATCTTGCGCCTTGCCTCAGTGAATGTAGCCTTTGAAACAAGGTTTGAGTGTAGCCGAAAGGGATGAACTGCCCTTTCATCTTCATCTTCATCTTCATATTCTCCCAGTTAGTAATTTTGGATTTTTCCTGTGGCTCCCGTGAACGCTTCAACCGTTCCCACCATGTAAATGCTCTACCTTTGAGTTTGATGACGACCAGTTTCACTTTGACATGATCTGGAACCTCCTTATATTCAAAAATCAGCTCCACTTCATTCAGCCAATCAATAAATCCTTCAGCTTGCAATGTACCAGAAAACTCGGGCAGATCTACTCTGAAATCGAGATCCACATGACGATCCTCCTGTCCACAATACTCCCAAACTCGAACACGATGGTGATACGGGTTTTCAAAACTGGTATCGGAATCGTGACCCTCCACATCATGATTACCGAACTCCTGCTTTGCCAAATGTTGGGTTAACTTCGCAACTTGTCTCTGCAAATCTTCAATCGTCACATCCTGAATATGACGATCACGGTGTGGAACTTCCTCAATCGGAACCTGCCCTCGACGTCCATGACCACGTCCACCAATTATTATAACTGATGGAATTTATCTCCCAAGAAGATGCTGACACTCTGATACCAACTGACGTCGGGTAGAATAGTGATTATCCTATTGGCTTGTTGTAGCAGATGACTCGCAAGAAAGAAACGGAAGAAAACGCCCAAAATCGAAGAAAATACTCTAAAATCAACTCAATATTATTAATAATGCAGAATACGAAAATTAACTCCACAAGCCGGGTTAAATAGCTACAAAATTACAAAATTATGGAAAATTATCAAAAATAACAAAATCTCAAAAATCTTACAGAAATAAAATATGGAATAAAAGAAGTAAGTTGCCAAAATTTTGGCTCAATTTGGATTTTAAAATCACCTAGAAAAAAGAAAACAAAATATTACTTTAAATGGTAAAAAATAATAAAATTAACTAAAATAACTAAAAACGGGTCAAATTGTCTCAATTAAGGAAATATTTGCGATTCACTTTCCATCTTTG